AAAATGAATGTATGTATGTATTGCCAAACCAAGCCCTTTGGGTATTGGTTTCATACTTACATTCCACTCACACAGAGTCTTTGTTATGAAAATAAGGGGAAGGGTTTTATTTTTAATTCAAGGGAAAATTAATCCAATCAATTTATCGTTTAAAAGTGTTAATCAAATTAAAGTTGCTCGATGTTATACGAAGATTTCAATACACTTAAGGATATTAGATAAATGCATTTGAATTTTAATTATGGTAAGTAAATAACTATTTCACAATTTTAAATAGTATTGAAAAAAAGTTAAATAATTTCGTATTTAAATGGACATTTTCATATCCAGTAAGAATAAGAATAACTAGTCTATTGTCCCGACTGTAGACAAGTCTATTATATCTACCAAGACTAGTCTTTCGTTCCGACTATAGATATCGTATAGACTAGTATATTGTGCCGACTATGGATTAGTTTATTGCTCTTATTATAGACCAGCCTATTATACCGACTGGAGTATTTTGTCTCGTCTATGGAATAGTAAATTGTTTCGACTACATATAGATTAGTCCATTGTTTTAATTATAGACTGATTATTCTATTATCTCCATAAAGACTAGTTCTTCATTCCGGCTATAGCATAATCTATCGGTCCGACTATAGACTAGTCTACCGCACATACTATTGACTATTTTGTTTTCCCAATAATACAATAGCATATTGTGCCGACTATGGACTAGTATATTACTCTTACTATAGACTAGGAATCTTTTGTATAGTATACAAAAGTATACTTCCTCGACTATAGAGTGGTCCATTGTACTGACTATAAAGTCATTTCTTTGTCCGGACTATAGATTGTATCGACTACAGTTTATACCAAAATCATAACACAAGCTACCAGGCAGAAGTCCGAGCAATAAGGGAATGCGTAAATTGTATTAGAATAAATATGGCGCCCACAGCGCTTAATATATATACCGACAGCTAGAAGGCAATTAGGGCGATATCAGGTGATAGAATTAAATCTAAGACCGTTTTGGATTGTAAGAAAGCTTTAACTGAATACTCTCCCAGAGGTAAGGTTCACATCATATGGGTACCAGGCCACTCGGGAGTAGTCGGCAACGAAAGGGCGAATGTAATAGCTTTAAAGGGAAGGGAGCTCGAGGCAGTTAACCTGACAAACGCAAAACCATTTGACGCAACAAAAGCTGAACTAAAAATAAGTGTGAGAGAATCCCATAAGGCCTCTTGGAATAATGAAACAGTGGGTAAAACCACAAAGATTCTATGGGGTGACCCTGATGAGAGCAAGACCAAAAATCTCCTCATAATGAGCAAGTCTGAAGTTAGTATGATGGTACGTAGTGGACACACAGGATTCGAGCACATCTATACAAAATTGGACTTGCGGATTCAGACGAATGTAGAGCATGTGAAGAGGAGATTGAAACTCTGGAGCACTTTCTCTACCACTACCAGGCATTTACCGAAGTTCAATCCAAGTATCTTTGAAGTGATGTTATTCCGAAAATAACATTCCTGACTAACACTGATTGGAAGATTTTTAGGAATTATGTCCAGGAAACTGAGTTTCTGAACACTGAAAAATAATTCATTCAGTGAACATTTTTTTCATGAAAAGGAGCTCACAACAGGCCCGATAGTGGCCTAGGAGTATTTCTTCGGATTTTATGTGATATACATCCTCCTATCAACCTAACCTAACCTAAAGTCTAGACTAGTGTATTGTTCCTTCTTTATTTAAGAGTAGTGTATTGTCCCTTCTATAGTATAGACTGAACTATTTTCTGACTACGAACTAGTCTAAGGTCCGAACTATAGACTAACATTTTGCATCGTCTATAGACAAGATTATTATCTTTACTATAGACTATTTATTAAAACAATAACCTATTCTATTGTTATAACCATTAACTGATCTTCTGTCCCAACTTTAAAAATATCTATTATATTGCTTATTGTCTCGGATAGGTTGCTAACACGACTATGGACAGTCTATTGTATCGGCTATGGAAAATTAGTCCCGACTGTAGATTAGTCTATTGACACTGCTATAGTAACAAATTTTGACTAGTTTATTGTTTTGACTTTAGACTAGTCTTTTTTCCCGACTTTAAACTAGTTCTAACCAAAGGCTAGTATATTGTTCCGACTATGGCTAATTCCAATGCACCATCTATAAACTAGTATCATATGTTAACTATATACTAGCCTTTTAAAACGTCTATAGACAAGATTATTCTCCCAACAATGGACTACAAACTAATCTATTGTTATGACCATTAACTGATCTTTTGTCCCGGCTTTAAACAGATCTATTATATTGCTTATTCTCTCGGCTAGGTTGCTGACATGACTATTGTCCCAAATATAGACTAGTTTATTGTTCTGACTTTAGGCTAGTCTTTTTTCCCGTCTATAAACTAGTTCTGACCAAAGTCTAGTATATTGTTCCAACTATAGCCAATTCTTATGCACCGACTATAAACTAGTATCGTATCCTTACTATATACTAGCCTTTTATCACGTCTATAGACAAAATTATTGTCCCGACAATGGACTATAAACTATTCTACTGTTATGTCCATTAACTGATCTTTTGTCCCGGCTTTAAACAGATCTGTTATATTGCTTATTCTCTCGGCTAGGTTTCTGACATGACTATGGACAGTCTATTGTATCGACTATGGAAAATTAGTTTCGACTGTAGATTAGTATATTGACCCTGCTGTGGTCCCAAATATGGACTAGTTTATTGTTCTGACTTTAGACTAGTCTTTTTTCCCGACTATAAACTAGATTTTATATTTTTCTTTACAATATTTCCCTTTGTAACCAATTATATGAAAATTTGCAACCATTTACCTGTTTAGGCTGTTGCACCTTAATCGACATCAATGTGGCACGATCATTAACCACACTAAACTTAATACGTCCGATCATTTCGTTAGTACGTGCTGTAGCACTTTTAACATTCTCCACTCCGGCACGTTTGAATGATTTCTCAACACGTAAAATAAGGGGTCCCAAAGTGAATTTAGCCTTAATTGTAGAATTGCGTCCTTCCGGATCGATGGCCAATTTTACATTGCCGACACGCTTCAATGATGCTAAACCCGATAGACTACCTTCAGCCTTTAAATAGTCAGTGTTGGCATCCTTAGTGTTGCCATTTTTATTGTTGGCTGTTGTGGCGCTAGTCGATTTAAGTTTGTGTTTGCTGTTGTTATTACTGCTGGTCGCACTATTGCTGCCATTGTGAACTTTTTTTGTTTGTCCATGTTGTTTGTGTGCCTTTGTAGAGCTTTTCTTTTGATTTCCTGATTTGACAACATCATTGACAAATGCAGTGCGAGTTTCCTGTTTCGTTTCGTCAGTATGGATTTCAGTTTTTTGTTCTGAGTTTTGTTGTTCATTTGTTACAACATCATTCCCAATTTGTTCAGTGGCTTTGAGTTTTTTCTGTTGTCCCTCCAATTGTTCCAATTGTTGTTGCAACTTATTTAGTTGTTTTGGCTCATTGTTATTGTCCTTTGGCATAGACTCTGCTTCAGCAGTGTTGGTGATTGTAGTGCTGCTGCTGCTGCTGTCGATAGTTTCGTTTTCGTTGTTTGTGTTGCTACGTGGTTCCGATTTTGTATTTTTCCTACAAAAAAAAGAGGAAAACAGAGAAAAAAATACAATTTATAAAAAAATGTAAAAATAACAGAAATAACATATAAAATCAATTGATCCAATTTAAACATGTATGCTACTCTAAAGTATGTCTGTTGCAAGTTATTTTATTCTATGTTTATACACTTACACACATATGTTGTGTACACATATATTTTGCCACAGAATGATAGTGCAACATTTTCCATTTTTTTTTTTTTTTTCTATTTATAAAGTATGTAATTTTATGCTACAATATATACTCAATTTGTATTATCGAAAAACTTACAATTTCTTAATTGATGTGTTGGTGGTTTGTGGTTTTGCGGTTTTTATTTTATTTTGTTGTTGCTGCTGCTGATGCTGGCTTTTTGTTGATGTGGCAGAGGCCGATTTTATTTCATGTTTAACTGTTGAACGACCATTCAATTGTACCACAAACGGGTCATAGTTATCGGATACAATACGATTAATACGTGCAAATATCGCATCGACAAACTGATTATTACGTTCCTGGAAGGCATCGCTCGACATATCAATTATATTGTTTTTCAATGAACCTAAATGTTTACAAAAACACATACATATATTGATAACAGATAGTGGAAAGATAAATTTTGTAATTAGAAAATGACGTATGCAAATTTATTTCAATTATTGAAAAAAAGAGCATAAATACAATACTATTCTTTTATTTGTATATCTATTTAAAATTAAATGTATATATTTGTTGTGTGTATTTTGCATGATAGGGTGTATATGTGTTTGTGTTGTTTATTTAATTGTTTGTGTAAAGGGTGCCTCTCCAGTATAAATGAATTAAAACTTATTGCTAAATCAGTTAAATAGTAAAGCATTTAATAAAGCTGTAAAATAATAATATTTAAAACTAAGTATTTAAATTTTAAATAAAAATTAAAAAATTAATATTATAATAAATAAATACTTATTTATTATGTTTTTACTAACTACCTACAGACTAGTTTAATATCCTCTAATACAACTAAAATTTTAAAACATTTATTTTTTTTTGAATAAAATAGGGGCTAGGGCCCTATCAATATAAAACTTGAACTTGGTTTCGTAGCTTTTTCGTATTTCGAGTATATTAAACATAAATATCAACTTAAAGGACATATTCGGGGGCTTCAGTTGTATGGGAGCTAGGTGAAATAAATAACCGATGTTTCCATAGGGTTCGTCTCTGGTAGAATACAAGATCATATACTAAACTTCATTGAATTATCTTCAAAATTGCAACTTGTAGTTTGATTACAAGGTTTACAAGCCCTATTCGGGGGTTCAGTTGTATGGGGGCTAGGTGAAATAATTGGATTGATCTTAACCATTTTCAATACTCTTCATCCGTGGGACAACAGGGGCCAAATTTTATTGAATTATCTTTAAAATTACGACCTGTAGTTTGATTACAAGGTTTACATGGACGGACAGACAGACAAACGGACGGACAGACAGACAGACAGACAGACATAGCTAAATCGACTGAGGAAATGATTCTTACCCGATTGGTATACTAAAGTGCTGTAGGGTATACTAACCCTAACACCGAATATTGTAAACACTTTCGACTGAGGAAATGATTCCAACCCGATTGGTATACTAAAGTGCTGTAGGGTATACTAACCCTAACACCGAATATTATAAACACTTTTGAAAATAGATAAAACTTTAAAATGCACCTTACTTTGTAATACACTGTTCAAAAATCCTGAATTTTGAGCTATACCATTCATTTGGATAGTATTTTTGTTCATTTCTTATAAAATATTTAAATCTTTATAACAATTCTAATCCGAAATAGTTTTGAAAATAATGATTTTTACAATTCACGCTGTTATATCGTATTGAATACCAATCCTTTTCTTTTTTGTCTTACGTGACTTTCGTGTGACATTAAAAAAACCAATAAATAATTATTAAAACACTATTATATTTGAGCACCAATATCAATTTTCATAATTAAAAGAAATACATCTAACACTTTAACCACTTCCGTATAATGTACATATGTAATTATATGCGTGTTCAATAGAAACATATTATGTATAAGATATACAGGATATTAAAATAATTATTATTCAAATAATTTAAATCCTTACAATTGAATTACATACTTCTTTTTTTAACAATTAACACTGTAATTGTTGTGAAAATATGGGTATTAGATAAATTAATCTATTGTATTGTGGGATTCATTAGAAACACCTTCATTAATTGTAACTATTTATATAAAAAAAGACATTATTATTTATATTGTTTAAAGGACAAATATTAAACGAATGAGTTGAGTAAATAATGAAAAATATAAAAAACAATATATGCAAGTGTTTCAAATTTCTCTGTAATAAAAATAAATGTGTAAATATAGAATTACACAAACAATTATTACAATTATTATGTATGTATAATAAAAAAATAAGGGCATCAAATAGAGTCAAATCAGAACATTTTTATTACGAACACATACACATAAAAAGCTTTTTATATACACATTTTATATTCATCAAAATACACCATACATACATATACACATAGGTTTTTTACATATTTACCTCTATTTACCTTTTGATACCTCATGAATTTATTATTTACACACTTTTATGACCGCATGCATAAAAACATGTGGAAATAATGTGTGTGTATGTAAATTGGAATAAATGTGTATGTATATGGGTGTTTCCTATATTCATTAAAAAGAGGAAATGACAATGACTTACTTACTAAGTAACTAACTAACTAACTAACTAACTAACTAACTAACTAACTAACTAACTAACTACTAACTAACTAACTAACTAACTAACTAACTAACTAACTAACTAACTAACTAACTAACTACTAACTAACTAACTAACTAACTACTAACTAACTAACTAACTAACTAACTACTAACTAACTAACTAACTAACTAACTAACTAACTAACTAACTAACTAACTAACTAACTAACTAACTAACTAACTAACTAACTACTAACTAACTAACTAACTACTAACTAACTAACTAACTAACTAACTAACTAACTAACTAACTAACTAACTAACTAACTAACTAACTAACTAACTAACTAACTAACTAACTAACTAACTAACTAACTAACTAACTAACTAACTAACTAACTAACTAACTAACTAACTAACTAACTAACTAACTACTAACTAACTAACTAACTAACTAACTAACTAACTAACTAACTAACTAACTAACTAACTAACTAACTAACTAACTAACTAACTAACTAACTAACTAACTAACTAACTACTAACTAACTAACTACTAACTAACTAACTAACTAACTAACTAACTAACTAACTAACTAACTAACTAACTAACTAACTAACTAACTAACTAACTAACTAACTAACTAACTAACTAACTAACTAACTAACTAACTAACTAACTAACTAACTAACTAACTAACTAACTAACTAACTAACTAACTAACTAACTAACTAACTAACTAACTAACTACTAACTACTACTAACTAACTAACTAACTAACTAACTAACTAACTAACTAACTAACTAACTAACTAACTAACTAACTAACTAACTACTAACTAACTAACTAACTACTAACTAACTAACTACTAACTAACTACTAACTAACTAACTAACTAACTAACTAACTACTAACTAACTAACTAACTACTAACTAACTAACTACTAACTACTAACTAACTAACTAACTAACTAACTAACTAACTAACTAACTAACTAACTAACTAACTAACTACTAACTAACTAACTAACTAACTACTAACTAACTAAGTAACTAACTAACTAACTAACTATCTAACTAACTAACTAACTAACTAACTAACTAACTAACTAACTAACTAACTTACTAACTAACTAACTAGTAAAAATTCAAATTTTTAAAAATATCCTAAATTTTTACCACAATTTTTAATTTCTGGTGAAATTTCGAAATGTGTGTAATTTGCAGCGAATTTGGTATTTCAGTAAAATTTAGTATTTGAAGTGAAATTTGAATTTCTTGTGAATTTTCGATTTTCAAGTAAGAATTTTAATATTTTTGAATTTTTATTGAAATTTAAAAAAAAAAACATATTTTTAGTTTCTAATGAAACATTGAATTTCTAGTGAAATTTCAATATTTTAGCAAAATTTCGACTTTTCGACAAAAAGTGGAATGTTTAATTAAGATTTGATTTTCTAGTAAAAATTCAAATTTCTAGATAAATAAATTCGAAACAAGGAAACAAGGTGTAATCTAATATATAGTTAAAATTCGAATTATTAAAGAAAATGGAATTAAATGGTCAATCATTAACGTATTTACGAAAATCGGCATTTGTACCTTCAATTTTGGTTGAATGATATTCACGAAAGGGCAGCGGCAGATGTAAGGTGAAATTAAAACAAAATGGAATTACCCATATGCAATGTCCATGTTAATAGAAAATAAAAGTTAATGTCTTTATAATAGGCTATGACATTAAAATAAAAACGAAGTATGATGTATCACTTTGATATTTACGAGTATAAATAATAAATTTACTTATACATACATATTTGTATTAAAAAAATAATAAATATACTTTCGTAAGTATAATTATTGCAATTATTTTTAAAAATATATATTTAATAAGTTTCTCTTTCCTTCCTTTTTTCTGATTTATATCCCAAAACATTGTAAATATCATCCTTTAATATTTTATACATTTTCTCTTTTAATTGTTCACCGTAACAGTAATCTTTATATACCATCATCTCTATTATAACATGCATGTCATTTTAACCTAAATATATATTTATGTGGATCTATTTATGTATAGAATTGAAACACTTTTTTATTTTTAGAAAAACGAACTGATTTAATTAGTTAATGAGGAATCCTGCTTAGAAAGGTCAGTTTAATTTTGTGTAACCTTTTATATATGTATGTATGTGTTTATAAATAGATACACATATGTATTTATATGTATATTATTAATATCCATTACGATAACATGACTATAAATAAAATATAATTAAATTTATAAAAACTTTAACTAGCAGTAGATAGAAAATATCCTCTATATGTGTCAATTACATTCGCAAATGTTATTAAAATCCCTTTGTAGTCAAGTAGTTAGAACAGATAAAATAAGTATTTATATTAAAGGAGATATTTTAAAGTGATCACTTAAAGAATTCTCCTCATAATCAGTCATAGCTCCCTTTCTATGCCACTGACAAGCTTTTGTCGAAATATGTAACATCCAAAGACTTTGGGAATGTTGTTATATCGGATATATCAACCTTAAGGAACATTAATTGGTAAATTTTAGAAATTACGTCCAGGAATTTCTGAATTACTGGATGACAATTGCTATATAAAAATTACCCACTTATAAAAACTACCATATAAAGGAGTACAAAACAGGTGCAGTAGCGATCCAAGTGAATAAATGTATGTTATAATATTAGCATCCTCCACTTCAACATAACCTAATCCAATAATCAAGAAGTAAGAAAGTAAGGTCACGTATGTTTAAAATGCTTTTGATAGAATATATTCTGAAAATTTTTTATCATTTATATCGGATTTTATCTCAAATCCAAATGATATTTATGGACTACAAATTGATTTTCAAAAAAGGACTATTTATGGGGGACTAATCAGTCTGATGTGGACTGAATGGATTTGAGTTTTTATAAAAAAAATTATGTTGTGTGTTAACTAAATTTCGATGTATTTAAGCAATTTATTGATGAAAACATATTTTCTTAAAAAGTATGGGCCGATCCTTATAAAATTTGAAGGAGGTTTGGATGTTTAAGACATGCTTAAAAGGGGAGTTTGAGGTCCGATCATTACAAAAATCGGCAGTGTCATTTATAAAACATAGTTCTACCGATTTCTGAAGAATTACTATAATTTGTCGTAGTTATGAGCTAAAAAGCCCAAATCGCAAGGTCCGGTTGTATGGGGTCAATGTGATATAATGGACCGGTTTTAACGATTTTCAAAATTTACTGAACACGAGAAAAATAAAAAATACCCAAGTCATATATATTTAGATTTATAAAATTTCAATTATGTCTATTATTTTTGGTGTGAGATCGATTTTTTGTTGTAAACGAAGAATTCCGAAATATTTTAAAAATTTTTTATCAAAAAAATGGGGCCAAAGGTAAATATGCTCATATTCGTATAAATTCTCTATTAGCGTTTTACGATGACATTAAAGTTATTTATGCAGAATTTCAATGTGATACTGATGTATAAAAGTGAATTTCCACCTTTAAGTAATTTTCTGAAGAAGATCTTTTTATGGGGACTTGAGTCAAATGAGGCCCGATAATTACGAAAATCGGCAGTATCATTTAAACATATATGAAACTGAGATTTATACAGATTCTATAACATTCAACAGAGTTATGAACAAAAGCCCTATTCGGGGAGTACGGTTGTATGGGGGCTAGGCGAAATAATGGACCGACATCGACTATTTTCAATAGGCTTCATCCAAAAGAAGAGTATGTGCTAAATTTTATTAAGTTATCTTGAAAAGATAAGAGCAGACAGATAAATAGACAGACAGACGGACGCACGGACAGATGGGCATAGAATAATTGACTCATTCTGATTCTGAGCCGATTGGTATAATTTAATGTGAGTGTAGAACCAATATTTTTAAGTGTTACAAGCATCAGCACAAACGCCTAATACCCTCCATATAGTGGCCATTTTTCTCGGAACGACTTTTATTTTGTGTTATGCCAGTCTTGTAGTGTATGAGCGATATATACTAAATTTTGGGAAAGGGAATCCTGTGAAGGGTTTTATTATTCTATGAGGATTGGAGTCAATTGTTAACTGTTCTTCATTTGTTATAGAAATATAAGTTCATATTGTGTTCACTTTTATCGCGTTACTAGTCAATTATGAACGATAAAGTTATTTTCTCAAGGGGACTTTATATGGACCCAATTTTCACTGTACATGGGATCTTTGCTTAGTTTTGTCACAATTTCTGTTTGAGTAACAAAATTTGTGAAAATTCAAATGATATTATCGAAAATATTTGAATGAGAGAGAACTAAGTTACATTATTGGAAAAATTTTAAACAGATTCGTCCTTACTCCAAAAATGTATGACAAAGATTTAAGAATCTTCAAGTGTTATTCCCGGAAATATTTGAAGGAGAACTAGGTAACATTATTGCAACGATTTTAACCAGATTCAGTAATGTTTGTTCTTATGCAAAAAAAAATATGATCAAAATTGCTAACTTTGGTGAAAATTGTTAACTTTAGTTTGACCAGAAGGTGCAATTTTAGACACAACCGGTTGGTAATTATTAGGAATTTGAATGGTATAGTTGTGAATCTTAAGTTTTTAGATGTATTAGGATACATCTTAAAGCCTGCTCTAGAGTATTTAAAAAGGAGATACTGATGAAAATACGACTTCTTGACACTCTTCTTAGAAAATAAATTTGCTTAAATTAATGATTTCCACAGAAATAGCTTAAACACTTAAAGCTGTAAAATAAAAGCCAATATTTAACCATTACCAAATATAAAATACTTACTTTTAGAGAAAGATTTGAAAAAAATAGGCGTAGTTTAGAAAATTAAAATAAAGAAAGGCGTAAAAGTGACAATTACACAAAGATTTAAAGAAATAAATGAAAAAACTACAAGAATTAGCAACAAATGATAAATGAATAGACAAAAATAGAGAAAAGAGTAAAGGAAAATAAATGAAGTTTTTTTTATAAAATTTTTTTTTACAAACAAACGCTTGAAAAATACATGAAGCCAATTAAGGATTTTTCCTTTGTTTTTTTTACTAAACCACGCCTTCTTTTTTTCAGTACTTGGTATTATTATTCCATTTAAATTAAATATAAATAAAACACAGCATTTTTTTATTAGATTCATTTCATTTTCACATTTTTTTAATTCTTCAAATGTTTGTTTTGTATTTTTTTCCAAAAAAAGAAAGTAATAAAACGGATTTTTTTAAATTTACAACAAAATAAACTTATAAGGACAATTATAATAATTTATATTTGCTTGTCTGTGTTTAGGGGGGTGGTTTCAAGGTGTGCTTTACAGGAAATACGGGAAACAAAATAATAGTGTGTCGGAAAAGTGTTTTTTTTTGATAGTTGGTGTTTGTTGTTGTTTTAAAAATGTGTAAAATTGTGTGTGTTTTTTTAAGCAAAATAACAAAAAATTTTCAAAATAACAAACAAATTCCGGCGGGTATTTGTAAAAAGTGTTTACAAAAGAAAAATTCATAAACAATATATAATCAGCCCTATTTCAGACAAAAAGGTTTAAAAATTAAATTTTTTTTTTTTGGAACTTTGTTTAAAATTTTGTATAGAAACCAACTAGTAGGGGTGTACAAATTTTAATTATTTTTAATATTTAATATTTTGTTTTAAATGTTTATGTTTAGTGTGGAATAGGGCAGATTATAAGGATACCATTTTCTTTTAAGCTATTTCTCACGAATTTTTCAAGCGTTGATATGGCATCCCTGGCACCCAACAGAATTATAGACATGTTAAATTTGTTTGAAAAAAAAAACAGATAGACAGACAGATAGATAGATATTTAGATAGATAGTAGAAAAGACAGTTAGATATAGTTAAGGAGAAAAACATAGATAGATAGAGTTTTTTTTTTCAAAGTTTTAGCTGTATTTTAAAAAACTACATTTTACAAAATCAAAAAAAATTTATATGTATATGTGATTGTTATAAATAAATGTGAGTGTAAAATTTTGTATGTGTGGTATTTTGTGTAAGAATTTCTTTTTGGTGAAAAAAATAAAAAATAAATAAATTACAAATATCAATAAATAAATTAAATAAATAAATAAATAAATAAATACAAATAAATTAAACTATATAATAAGTTTAAATTTTCAAGATTTTCTTAAAAGTTCTTTACAAAAATCTTTTTATTAGAATAGGCCAGTAAAGTTTTAACAAACGGTACCAACTAACCCTGCTGAACCGTAAGATAAATTTACAGTTAAGCAAAGTTCTAAGACCGTTATTATTAAAGGCAATTTTAAATAATTTTCTCTTCTTTCTTTTTTATAAATAAATAAATACATATAAATAAATAAAATCATAAATATATATATAAATTTAATTACATACTTTCAACAATTTGTGCTTTTAAAAGTAAAAAAACTAGTGAATGCTTAGTTTGTTGGTTTGATTTTTGCCTTGACTTTCTTTTTTTTACAAATACGAATACAACAAGTTTTCACAATTTCTTTACACAATTTTTAAACAATTTGTAATTGTTTAAAAAAAAATAAAATTTTCAACAAGTTTGTGCAAATGACAATAGTCGTCCGTGCTTTTTACATACAAAAATAGTGAAAAAAGTAATAAGTTTTTTGTTGCAAATGTGCAGTTTGTTTTTGTTTTTTTCTTACATAGTTTGACTAGCACCAAACTCGTTATCATAATCAGTTAACTACTTTAAGAGGAATATAAAAAACAAAAAAAATCATAAATAAAAAAAGAAAACTTTATGTTGTTATTGTCTCGCTTTAAACCGTTAAAACTAGCACAATAAACTTTCTTTTCTTTAGCTACATTTACTAGAGAAAAATCACAAAAAACAAAGACAAACTTGTCAAAAAAAAAAGTCTTTTGGTCCTTTTATGTTAAAAGTTTAATAGGAGAAAGCATCTTTAGGTCCTTGTGAATTCAAATAAATATTATTAATTATCTAAGTTAACTTTAAGAAGGTAAGAAGAGAGAGACAGATAAAAGAGAGTTGAGTTTTGAAAAGTCCTTTTGAGGTCGTTTGTGTTTCGTTTTTGTTAGCTAACGGATTTGTTGTAGTTGTGTGGAAGGGCATTAATGTTTCAAGGATTTTTTACTCTTCAAAGCACTTGTTGATTTTTTGTTGCTACTTTTTAAAGCAGTTGTATGTTTCTTAGCTGATTTAGACTCACGTGCTTCACGTCTAGCTTCAATGACATCGTCGCCAATAATATCATCATCGTCATCATCTTCATCGTCGTCAGCATCATCGTCATCTTCACCTGTTAGGGCACCTGTAATATCATCGACTCCATCATCAATATCATCATCATCTTCTTCATCATCATCATCCTCATCGTTGTCATCATCTTTGTCCTTGACATTATTAGCGGCAGCAGCTGTTACAGCATTTTTTGTACCTGCATTATCCGCTGAAGCAGCAGCTGTCGCTAATACTGTCGCTGTTGGACTTTGAGTCAAACTTGTAGGAGGAGTCTGATTTGTATTAGTTTTTTTATTATTAGTATTACTACTGGATGTTTGAATGACATTTGTTGGTGTAAGTTTCAACGTGTCTGGTTGATTGTTTGTTATGATCTGTTGTTGTTGTACATTTTGTTGTTGTTGTTCATGTTCATGGTTTTTTTGTGTATGAGTTTGATCTGTACTAATAATGCTATCAACTGAATTACTACTACTACTACTACCAGTGATGGGATTATTATTATCATTACTAATATCACTACTACTACTACCAGTTATACCATCTACAATGCTATTGCTAGCATCTTCATCATAAAAAACATTTTGTTCACCTTCGTTGTTGTTGCTGCTGCTGGAGGGAGCTACATCATTGTCGGCAGCATTACCTTGGGCCAAGGGTTCGTTGGCATTGCCACTTTCGGCGGGTAAATCGACACCATCGGAAATACCAGCGGCAGCAGCTTGACCTACGGGAGCAATATCTTCAATGGGGGCGGCTGGAGCAGCAGCTACGGTATTTTGTACACTGGCAGCGGGTTCTTCATCGTCATCGTCTTCATCATCATCTTCATCTAAAAATTAAAAGGAAAATTTGTATTAAATAATAAAAATATTTTTTTTATAGAAAGTGTTCAAAAAATTATTTTTTATAGAAAATTCTCTCTAGCCAGAATCATATTTTTTTTTTAATACAAAATTTTCGAAAAATGTCCTTTTTATGGAAAATTTTCGAATTTTTCTTTTATAGAAGCTTTTAATTTAAATTTTTCAAAAAATTTTGGAAATTTTTAGTTTAAAAAATATTTCAAAAAAATCGGCTTTATGGAAAAATTTTGAAAATTTCTGTTATATAGAAAATTTTTTAAAATTTCTCTATTTTATAGAAAATTTTTAAAATTTATCCATTTTATAGAAAATTTTCAAAATTTCTCTATTTCATAGAAAGTTTTTGAAAATTTCTCAATATTATAGAAAATTTTAAAATTTCTCTATTGTATAGAAAATTTTTAAAAATTTCTATATTTTATACAAAATTTTCAAAAATTCTCTATTTTATAGAAAATTTTCTAAAATTCTCTACTTTATAGAAATTTTCTAAAATTCTCTATTTTATAGAAAATTTTTAAAATTTCTTTATTTTATAGAAAATATTTAAAATTTCTCTATTTTATAGAAAATTTTTAAAATTTCTCTATTTTATAGAAAATTTTCTAAAATTCTCTATTTTACAGAAAATTTACTAAAATTCTCTATTTTATAGAAATTTTTCTAAAATTCTCTATTTTATAGAAATTTTTCAAAATTTCTCTATTTTATAGAAAATTTTCTAAAATTCTGTATTTTATAGAAATTTTTCTAAAATTCTCTATTTTATAGAAATTTTTAAAAATTTCTCTATTTTATAAAAAATTTTCTAAAATTCTCTATTTTATAGAAAATTTTTTAAAATTCTCTATTTTATAGAAAACTTTCTAAAATTCTCTATTTTATAGAAAATTTTCTAAAATTCTATATTTTATAGAAAATTTTCTAAAATTCTCTATTTTATAGAAATTCTCTATTTTATAGAAAATTTTCTAAAATTCTCTATTTTATAGAAATTTTTCAAAATTTCTCTATTTTATAGAAAATTTTCTAAAATTCTCTATTTTATAGAAAATTTTCTAAAATTCTCTGTTTTATAGAAAATTTTCCAAAATTCTATATTTTATAGAAAATTTTCTAAAATTCTCTATTTTATAGAAAATTTTCTAAAATTCTCTATTTTATAGAAAATTTTCTAAAATTCTCTTTTTTATAGAAAATTTTCTAAAATTCTCTATTTTATAGAAAATTTTCAAAAATTCTCTATTTTATAGAAAACTTTCTAAAATTTTCTATTTTATAAAAAAATTTTCTAAAATTCTCTATGTTATAGAAATTTTTACAATTCCTCTTTGTAACGAAAATGATTGAAGAATTGTTATTGCATAGAAAATATACATAAAATTATTTTTAAAAGAAAATTTTCAAAAATTTATATTTTTAAAAAAATTTTCGAAAACATTTCTATTTAATAAAAAATTTTGAAAATTTGGCTCTTATTTTGGAAAATTTTTCTATTTAGTTAAAAATTGTTGTGAACAAAAAGATTTTGAGAGGGTTTTCGTAAAACTTTTTTTTATTTTTCAATAATTTTTGAAAAAAAAAAAAAAAAAAAAATATTTTTTCAAAATTGTTCAATAAAAAAAAGTCCATATTTAATAAAAACTTTCAATAACCTTTTTATTCCCAGAAAAAACTAGCTAATAGCTTTCAATTGTAATTAATTACTTAACAACATACTTTTCAATGACTTCTACATGTGGTCTGGATTACATAGAAGTAGTCTAATAAGGTCTAACAAATAATGTGTTATATAAATACATTCTAATTCATTAGTCATCTTGCCAGTGAAGATATAGATACAGTATGTATACGTTTTTTCATGTGATTTGCAATGACTACTTTATCTAATTACTTGTAATCATTTGTGGTAAGTACTTGACTTTAATGACATCACCGTGTTAAAATAATGGATTAAGTAAAATTTTAGCATTTTAACCCCGTTACTATGTAGGCAATGAACGTTTTTACTGGGTTATTTATCTATAAGTTTCTGAAGAAAATATTTATGATAAATATTGTATAAATTTTACTTTCCAAATTCTTAAATTCATTAGAAATATACAAAATTTGATTCAATATACATATGTATACAATGTCTTATACATATCACTTAAATCAATCAATTCTAACTAAAATCTCAAGTTCGGTAAATATTTGCTAACTTAATGTAAAGTAGTATTTAATTAGTACTCCAACAGAAATTTTATCCAAAACTACTTCCTCTCGCATATTGAACATTAACATTACTTAATAGCTTTTAATATTACTACAAATCCATATCCAATAATAATACTTTTTCTCAACAAATTCCTCTAGTCATTTTCTCAATATTAAACAATCTATATAAGTCTATGTAAAACAAAAAAATTGTCAATTTCATATCTTTTATTACACTTACCACCTAAGATATCATCGAATAATCTATCCAAGTAATCATCATCGTCATCATCTTCCTCATCATCATCATCGGCACCCGAGTTGGGGGCAGCTTGACCTTGTGGTCTATCTTCCTCTTCCTCATCGTCATCATCTTCATCATCATCGTCGTCCTCGTCATCTGAAAGCCCCGAAACAAATAGAACTGTGTTATTCATGCATAGAAATAACACATGAAAAAGAGAAAGAATAATGTAAAAATATTATGGTCACACGGATAAAACAATAACAAACAGACAGACACCAGTGCTTTGTCTAACCGACTGAACTGTGTCGTTAGGACTAATTTTTTTTTTTTTTTGTTGAGGAACAGTCAGTCGGTTATATAATATAGAAGACAGCAAATCAACAAAAAAAATAATATGTAGTTTTTTTTTTAAAGATTCTAAGTAGTTTTACGAGAAGATGGTGTTGGTGGCAGAAAACTTTCTGTAACTTCAAATTGTGATTTAAATACCGAGATGCGTAGGTACAACATACGAATACTTATAGAGGTGCTGAAGTGATGGTGTTGGCGTTAAAATAAATATTACTGCCTTTTTTTTTTCTTGTAAAGTTGTGGTTTCTCGTTTCATTACGTAGATGTGTAATACAATACTACTAAAAAAGGTGAAAAAGGGGAGTATAGCTAAACAGACAATAAGATAGAAAATATAGAGATACAAATGCAAATATAAATATAGAAAAAGAGCGTAGTGCGTAAATGGTCTACTTAAGATTTCTTTTACACTACATGCACACACTTTTAACATAGACACTCACACACACATACACATGTCAGTCAATGTTGAAGTTCTCAAACATATGTACATCGGTTATCCTTTTATGGTTGCGGTTACCCATTTATGCTAGCTGCTCTTTATACACCATTTCACACAATCAATTAAACTTTTAGGATTTAAAAAGAGAACTACTTTATACAAGTGTATTAATTCTCTCTAGAAAACAGTGATCGAAACCGAAATCTATTAGAGGCTTGAAAGCTTGTTTTATATACAATTTGAATATCAAGGAAACTTTGAAAATATGATTAGAAGAAAGTATAATAGATAGTCTATATATATATAGACTATTCCCTTTGAGCCGTCCACTACTCTAATATTGATGCAACCAAAAGAGAAATGTTTTGAATCAGGTATCGGTAGAGAGTAACAAGTTAGCTCTTTGAAATGGTGTTATTTTTAATACTGAGCTTATCAAAAAGCTCTTAAGATAGCTTTTTGCCGATACCAGTTTTTAATGATTATTTTGTGGGTTTTAAATGAGAATATATTAGAGCAGGTTAACATATTCATTAGAGAAATTTAATGTTTTTTCTTAGCTGTTAAGAGATTTGTTGGTGTTCTTAATGTATTTGTGTAAAAAGCCGATAAATATTTGGATGGATAAAGTTCATATAAAAGCTCTCTGTCCATATCAGCTACAAAGCATTTCATTCAATATCATCGGATAAAGCTTGTTAATTTTTGTTTTCATTTCTTTATATTAGGGATTGACAGAAATAGAAAACTTAGCTTTCTAAAGGAAAGCAGTAAAGCTCATAAGAAAGCTTTCTGCGTATCTCTGATCTTAAAGGTCAATTACAATTTGTCCCAACATACTACTCTTATTGGTCTAAAGCAGGCAGCAGCAGTAACTAATAAATGTGATCTCAGAAAAGATTAAGTCTGAAAACAAGAGAGCATTTGAAATCATAAAAAAGTTCTCTATGACTATCTCCGCTCTAAAACATTTCACGATATTCCTATATTGATTTACATCATTACGTGCAAACTCATTTCATTCAGTAGGCTAGCAATTTGCTCTCCTAGGAAATGATGTTTAGAAAATACATGAGTCCACGTACATATATAAAGGATTTTGGTTTATACTAAACACACATAATCAAAAGAGAAAAAGAAAATTTCTTTCAAGTATGGTGTCATTATCCTGAGATTATAACACTTTTACACAAACATACATAAAGGCATTATGTACTCAAACACAAAATAAAAGTAATCTGAACAAAATATTTAAAATTTTGTGTTAAAGTGTGTTTACAAAAGAACGTTGAAATCGGAGTGTATCTAAAAAAAGAGTGAGTTCTCAAAAGAACTTCAAAAGTTTTTTCTTTTTTTGAACTAATAAATAAATTTCAACAAATCTTTAATGCCTTGAGGTAATTTATTAAAGTCAGTTTAGTCATGAGGTGTTAAAATTACATATTACTTAATTAATTAATTTTATTGAATTAATGACAACTAAGAATTTCATTGCGTGTGTGAACGATTAATTGAATAAAAAGGAAATTGTAGTGGTGCATGTGTGTTGAAAATCTACACAGAGAAAATAATTTTGTGACAATAAATTTAATAGCTATTGTAGAAATAAGAAGTCTATTATTTTGTTTGTGCTTACCACAATTAGATTGCAGCAAACAAAATTAACAAAACCTATAGATTTGTGCATATCAAAATATATTCTCTCTGTGTATATTTTATTAAGTTTATCTGTTGCTTTTTATCTACATTTAGAAAAAGATAGTTCTTGTTTTTTGTTGCTGTTTTTGTTGCTATAAAAGGTAAAAGAAAATTAAAAGAATACAACACATTCTTCGAAACTATGCTACAAATAATAGAAAAAAAAGTAATGAGATAGATTATTATCATTGTTTTCATTCCATGTTACCAGAAACCTTAGTTCTTATACATATACAAATATAGAGAAAATTAAGAAAAGAAAAAACTAACAAAAAATTAAACAAAATAATCTTACCATCATCATCATCAATTAGATCTCCTAGATCAGGTTCATCGTCATCATCATCCTCATCGTCATCATCATCTTCATCGGCAGCTTGTGCGGCAACAGGAGCAACATCATTAACACCGGCAGCTTGTTGGCGCGCCAAAGCACGTTCCTGACGTTCGACTAGTTTAACGGGTGAAGCTTGAGCTTGTTGCAGTAACAGTACACTAAGTACACACAGTAAAATAACAAATTTCATTGTGATCTGGAAGAGAAAAGAAAAGGCAACAAAAATTATTAATACTTTGTTTTTTCAAAAGCGACAAAAAACCTATTAAAGTTTTAATTAAATTTTATTAGGAAAAAAATGTTTGTAATCATAAAATCAGTAATATTTATTAATAGATTTTAAGTGGAAATTGTATTTAATTATTTTAGTTTAATCTAAAAAAAAATTATCTCTGGTATAACAATAATGTTGAATTTTTGTGGCATCACTTGAAAAAAATGGTAACAATAAACCTATTACTGGCTTATGGTTTAAAAACTTTATTTATATATTTTTTATATTTTTAATAAAATTATTGGTATGTTACCACATACTGATACATACAAATTTGTTTATTTAATACATATTTTTTATATTCCCCTATAAATGTTAATAAATAAAAATTCAGCGGTAAAATGTGTATATTTATATGGTTTTTATTTAAAAGCATTTGAGGTTGATACTAACAGATTATATGATACCCTATAAAGCTGCTACACTGAAAATTTGAATCATAAGAGTTAATCAAAACCGTTATTCAAAGACTTTAAGTCCTACGAATTAGTTTTCAATGTGAAAAAGTTTAGTTTCGTTAAGGCAAACAAATGTTTCTGAAATTAAAATTCATTGACTTTCTGAGAAAGAATCATTCTTTTTATTTGCTCCGTTGCTTTCACTTGTAAGATCTCACATATATTTAAAACTCATGAGAGAGCTTGCTCGCTACTCTTTCTCAGTCTCAATGGTATTCGCTTGATCACATCAATTAACGAAAGGCATTTGACACTAACAGATTATATTGATACCCTATAATGCAGCTATACTTCAAATTTGAATCCAAAGAGTTAATGCTAAGACGTTCTTCAAGCACTCCAAGTTCAAAGAATTTGTATTCAATTTGAAAACGTCAAAATTTTCAGTTAAGGCAAACAAATGTTTCTGAAAATTCCACGACTTTCTGAGAAAGAATCATTCTATTTATTGCCTCCTATGTTTTCACATGTAAGCTCTCTCACGTATTCAAAACCAATCAGAGAACTAGCCTGCTAATCTCTGCCAATACTCCCTTGATCACATCAATTAACGAAAGGCTTTTTAGCAGTTATCGACAAAGAACTTTCTCATTTGCTCTATTGCTTTAATAAGTTTATATTTACCAACAAAAGCTTGATCGTCACTCTCTGCTCTCTAATATTACTGCACATCAATTAATCTCAAATGTTTAAAGTTTAGTAGATACGTTTAAGTATAAGCTTTTAACAGTTTTCATTATAAATTTCTAAAAATATGAAGCATTATTTTCAAGATACATATATACTAACTGCCTACCTGGACTATTATTATTTTATTATTACTGCTTCCTGAAAGCACTAATGCAGGACTTCTTGTTAGAGAAATACGATCCAAAAACATGTTTTGAATAATAATTTTCACCCTAATGAAAGTTCAAAACATGACAATTAAACACTGAAGCGTATAAATATTTATTATAACAAAAATAAAAGTTTGATCAAAAGCATACACTATTTTGATAACTTTATATAACAAAAATCTCTCTCCAATTTTAAAATATTAAAAAAAACTTTAACCTACTATAGCTATATAGAGTAAAAATGCGGATAAATATATATTTCGAACGTTTTGAATATAAAGTGTGATTTTATTTTTTTTACCAACTTTTTCTACGATATTTACATATCAGCCACCAAGAAGGTAACATTGGCGCAAAAATTCGAAAAACAAAAAAGTATCATTATTTGACATCAATACCTGTAACAATGTAGACACTGTATATCATTGTTCCCCGCCATATACACCCTCCCTCCCCCTAGAAAATGTTATTGTCAGTATAAATATTTTTGCAATATTATTTGTTTATATTTATGTTTTTTTGTTTTCATACTTTTTTTATTTACTATAGTATTTTTTTGTTCATTTTTTACAACTTTTTGTTTGTAAAATATATTTATTTTTGTGTGTATTTTTTTCCTGTACGGTAACATTACGTATTGACAGGTAAAATTGATGCATATTGTAAGTGTTAATAAAAAGGGTAATGGTGTTGGGCGGTATGGGTGGTTTAGGAAGGAAAATTACAAAAACATGTCAAATCTGTTTGCTATTTTTTCTTCACTTTTTTAGTGTATTTCCTGTTATTTAACAAAAAAAGTGGATAAAATGGAAGAAAAATGTAATGATCAATATGTGTACACATGAGTATTTTCAAGAAGTATGTATTTTCTGTTGAAAATTATATACATGGTCATTGTATGTCATTGTTTTCTGAATAAATGCAATAAAATCTCCATGTTAAATAAATAAAATAACCATTTACAGTTTGGTTTTATGTTTTAAAAATCGTTATTGGATTAATTACGAACATTTGTTCAAAGGTTTATGGTATTTTGGGGTATTCAGTTTCAATTATTTTGCACGGGGAGAGATTTGTTTTAATTTAAAATCGAAAACTTGATACCGACAAGAACTACAACTAAATTAAAACTGAACTAGAACTGAACTAGAACTGAACTAGAACTGAACTAGAACTGAACTAGAACTGAACTAGAACTGAACTAGAACTGAACTAGAACTGAAACTAGAACTGAACTAGAACTGAACTAGAACTGAACTAGAACTGAACTAGAACTGAACTAGAACTGAACTAGAACTGAACTAGAACTGAACTAGAACTGAACTAGAACTGAACTAGAACTGAACTAGAACTGAACTAGAACTGAACTAGAACTGAACTAGAACTGAACTAGAACTGAACTAGAACTGAACTAGAACTGAACTAGAACTGAATAGAACTGAACTAGACTGAAACTAGGAACGAACTAGAACTGAACTAGAAGGGAATAGAACTGAACTAGAACTGAACAGAAAACTGAAACTTAGAAAACTGAACTAGACTGAAACTAGAACTGAAACTGAACTGAACTAGAACGAACTGAACTGAAATTAGTAAATGCACTAGAACTGAACTATGAACTGAACTAGAACTGACTAGAACTGAAACTAGAACTGATCAAAAACTAAAAAGTTGGTGGTCAACTCAGCTATATTAATTTATTCGATTTCAGAAAAATTCTTTTAAAGTTCCCTAATAATACCTACATGTATATATATACATACATAAAATGTATTTCTAGAACATCTCTTATTTAACTTTAATCTTCCAAAAGCAATGTAAAATTTTGCTGCAACATTTTTTTTTTGTTAACCAAAACTTGTTTTACTCCCTATAATAACCAAGGTATCGAACTTTCGATTTTAATTAACGATACTATTTACATATACACTTTCTTTTATTGTGGAACAAGAATTTCCATTGAAATATCCCTTTATCGAACACAAACTGAACCAAAAGAAAAGAAAGTAATTTTTGTTAAAGGTGTGAGTTGTTATTGTAACTGCGACCAATGGGTGAGGAGAAATTCAATGTGGTACGCACAAAAATGTTGTAAACAGAAATACAATCATAATTGTGTATGCAAGCCACACGTACGTACGAGTATGTGTTTTTTTTTAGTGTCACAGAAAAAGTAAAAGTTTTTTATTTATTGTATACTTTTTGTCTAGTATGAATGAATGTCTTGTATGTGCATTTGTATTTATTGTAGTTTTTATAAGGAAACAAGTTTATTTTCTTTTTTTTTTTTTTTGTATTTTTTCCATACACCATTGAAATTTTAATAAAATTTGTCGCATTAAATTGATATTGATTGTTGATATTGCCAGTCAGCCAACAAACAAACAACAAGTCATACATATTGTCTACCTTTTGGCTTTGAAAAGAAGACATATTTTATAAAGAAAAAAATATTTATTTGTAATAAATTTTATTTATTTGTTATTTATGTGCCAATGTGTATATAAAAAGAATGAATAAAATTTACTTTTTCTTGTAATTGTTGACAAGTTATTGACGTAAAGGTATTTATTTATTATTCGTTTTTCAAATAACATAACGCTTGAATACAAACTTTTATATTTTAGAGATATTTTAATTTAGATATGTATATGTTTGTAAAGAATTGGCACATCAAATTTTCTTATAGATATTTTATTCAGTTTTTACTTAATAAAAGCCATTTTAAAATTGTTATAATTTATAGATAAAAAAAATTCTAAGGTAAGAGTTGGTGTTATCTAATAACACCCGTAGGACTAATAATTTCAAAGCTTTAGTATTTGTGTTTTTTTTTTCTTAAGATTTGAAGGACTTTTAATACAAATTTCTGGCAACATGCGTAAGTAAACATGTTTATAATTTTAACAATAACTTTTAAAGTAAGGTATGAAAAAGATTTTAAACCAAAAACACTTTACATGTTGTAAACAAAAACCAAAATTAAGTCAAGTAAAAGTAAACAAGTTTTTTTTTTCTCAACTTATTTTCTATTGTTGGCTGGATTTGTTTTTCTTTTCTGTTTCTCCACGTTGCAGTGGCTGTGTATTATTGTTTTGTTGAATACGCCAAAACGTCTGCTGTCGCTGTTGTTTTGTGTGTTGAATAAACCAGAAAAAAGTTTAAGTTTATCATGCAGTAAATATATATGTATATTTATATGAAACATATGTATATGTATGTATATTAGTATTTTGTGTGTGTTTTTTGCCCCAGCTGTTAAAGTTGTTGTAGCCTTCGCCTTTAGGCGCCACTACTAAAATCAGGTTACAACTATGTCAATATGTATTTGTATGTAGTAGGTTTCTTGCCACTGTTACTTTATAAGTGGTGGCTGCAGTAGCTGATAATAAAAAAAAATTCAAGACCCACTCGCACTCGAACGCACACAAACTTTTATGCTCTTAGCCACAAAATGCACATTGGTACGTAAAGTAACTTTTTCCAAGTGATTAATAACAGAATTTGCAGGATATGAACTTCATAAATACTTAACAAAGTTGTTAGTTAGTTACTTTGAAAGGAGGATTTAAATACTTCAAATCCGAAGAAATACTCCTAGGCCTCTATCGGGCCTACTGTGCTC